TCTCCCTCTCCTTCTCCCTCTTTCTTTCCATGTGTGTCTGGGCACATTTGTGTGTGTGCCATGGCATGAGTGTGGATGTCAGAGGACAACCTCTGGTGTCAGTCCTCACCTTCCACCTTGAGACAAGGTCTCTTTTTCCAGCTGGCAGTGGGTTCTCCTATCTCCACTTCTCATCTCCAAGAAGGAGCGCTGGGATTGCAAGTGTGCAATGCTATGTACTATGGCTTTATGGGATTCCAGGGGTTTTGTTTGTGTTTGTTTTTTTGGGTTTTTTTGATAGGATCTCACTATGTAGCTCTGGCTAGGCTGGAACTCACTATGTTGGCTAGGCTGCTGTTGAACTCACAGAGATCTGCCTGCCTCTGCCTCCTGAGTGCTGAGATTAAAGGCAGGCACTACCCCCTCCTGCAGTTCTGGGGATTTGAACTCAGGTCTTCAAGTTTGTGTGGTGAGCCCTTTACCCACTGAGCCATCTCCCCAGCCTAGAAATCATGTTCTGATAATTTCTATCTAAGCCATAAGCAGAATCCATCCAGTCCAGCACATGGCAGAAGCTCCATTTATGTACCTTATGGTCAGACAAGCAGGTGGATGGGCGATCTAGAGAGCTACTTGAGTGATGTTCTGTCTTCCGTATTCATTTTTTTGGTTGGTAGATTGAGGGTGTGTTGTCATTTATTTGTTCTCTGTTTTTGGGGCGGGGGTTGCTTGCGTGAGCCAGTGTGTGAAGTGAGGCCAGCTCCAGGCGCAGTCAGTTCCTCAAGGCTATCTACCTTTTTGTTTATTTTTCTTAGTGAAGTGGAGTTAGTGTTTAATGAAAATATTTTAATATAGGCTGGGTGTGGTGGGCACGCCTTTAATCCCAGCATTTGGGAGGCAGAGGCTGGTGGATCTTTGTGAGTTCCTGGCCAGCCTGGTCTACATATCCAGTGCCCAGCCAGCAGGGGCTACAGGGAGACCCTGTCTCAAAAAGATGAGGGGGTAGGGAGAGGAGGAGGAGGAGGTGAACTGGGGGAAAATAAAATACACATACGTGGTACCAGCTCCCAGAGAGTGCCCTCCACGCTGGCTTTTGTTTGAGGTAGAGTCTGTCATAATTGTTTTGTTTTCTCGGTCTTTTATGAAGCTACTTTAGCTTCCAGGGCGCTGTGATCATGGGAGTGCACCACCCGGCCTGGCTCTCTAGTTTTTTGTTTTGTTTTGGTTTGGTTTTGGTTTTTGGTTTTGGTTTGGTTTTCTTATTTAGAAAATACAATCTGATCTTGGCAAGCACCTCCAGGTTGTTGGGCTAGTGCTAGAGCTTGGGCTGCTGAGGGCAGGAGAGACAGCGAAGAATGCAAGGCCGAGAAGAGTCGGTGTGGCAGAGGCCCGCACGTGAGGCCTCCGAGGGCACGTCGTGGACTGGGTCCCCAGAGTCAGGGAAACAGGCATTAGCTTGCAGGCCAGGACCCTGAAGTGTCCTTGGCCAAGGTGGCTGGAATGTATCAGTTACAGACAGGCCTCACTGCCAGTCAGAAGCCAGCTATGTCTTATATCCCGAGATGGGTCCGCGGGAGTGCAGATGGCAGCTGGGAAGCGACACCGAGAGAAAAGTGCGAGCTAGAGAGGAGAGACTGGGAGGACGGAGCGGGGTAAACCCATCTGCCATCCGAGGGGAACCCGAGTCACGGTGTAGGGAATAGGCTGAGGCTCTGAAATGTCCGAGAGGCTGGTCTTAGAATGAGTCCCTAGAGAGGGGTTGACCTGCCATCGGATGCTAACTGTGGGCAGAGGCGGGAGGACCCTGCGGTACCTCGGCAGTAAAGGATGAAACAGTCCGCGGACACTGCTGCCACCTGGCGGGAGAAGCCTGCCATTTCTCTTGCTCCTCACCCCAGTGCTCTCCATCTCTGCTGAGTCCTAAGACCAGGGTATAGAGACAGATGTGGAGGAAAATCCCTGAATTTGGGACCAGGGAAATTTGGGCCAAGGGAAGCCCCAGGGAAGAAAATGCAGACCTTTGGGAAGTGTCCAGTTCACGCATTCCTTTTACCCCTGCGCCTTGCTTCCGGCCCTGGCCCCGAGGGCTTTTGCAATAGTTACATGAGCTGACCTGTGCAAATTTCTTGGCATTTTGATAACGCACTCGGTAAACATAGCTGAGGTTGATCCAAAGAACAATAGCTTTATCCCCATCTCCCAAATATGCCTGCTACATAAATGCAGTGTTCACAGTCCTGGATTTGGCAAGTCTTATTTGTAAGTTCTGGGGCACCACTGGTTTGGGGTTTTGTTGTGTTTGAAACAGGGTCTCCTTATGTAGCCCTGGCTGGCCTTGAACTCACAGACATCACCTACCTCTGCCTCCCAAGTGCTGGGGTTTAAAGTTGTGTGCCACCTTGCTCTTCAGACACCACTGTTGGATTGATTAACTGTGGTGCTGTGGCAGAACCCAAGGTCTTGACATGCTAGGCAAAAGCTGTACCCTTGAGTTACACCCGTGGATCTCCACCATTGTTACTGAGTTATTGTCAGTAACAATAGCTGACATCCACAAGGATGACAACTCTGAGGACTCCAGCATCTCTTCTTCTCCTTCAGGAGCTAGAGGCTCCCCACACTGGACCACTGGAATGGTTCTGAGCTGTGACATCATAGAATCCCACTCATTAACAGTCATGAGGCTGTGGCAGTGGGTGCCCATATGTGTATGGATGTGGATGGTGTTGGAGACTGTAGAAACAGGTGGGGAGCTGGCTCAGGAAGAGTGGGAAGAAAGGATACTTGGATATAGGAAGTGGTTGGTAGGGACCAGTGCAGCCCCAGGCGTGTGTATGTGTCTCTCTCTCCCTCCCTGCCTCCCTTTTTAGTGTTCACTATATAGCCCAAGCTAACTTCAAATTTGAAGCAGTCTTGCCTCTGACTCCAGATGTAAGGATTACAGGCATGAGCCAACACAGTTGGTGGGTCCTTCCTCTGCTCTGTATCCCTCTCATCCCCTCATCTCAGACACAGTAGGCCAGCTCTGGGAACAAGGTCAGCAGGTCCCCCAAGTATGCCTGGCCTTTTGGGGTAGGCATAGGGGGTCTGTTGGACTCCTGCCACAAACTTTACTCTGGATCCTAGCACCCAGATGGCATGACAGCAAGGCCTCAGCACCAGGTGAAGGCTCTCAGGTCTTCATAGACAGGCCTGACTTCTTTAATTACCCAGACTCAGACCAAGCCAGCCTTCTTGCTGTGGCCCAGTTTATTGGAGAGAAACCTGTGACTTTTGTTAAGACAGGTATGAACCAGATAAAGAAAGGGGCCTCCTTCCTGGCAGGGCCTGGACCAGGAAGAGAGCTGCCCTGGACCCCTTTTTTCTGGCAGGTTCCAGCCCAGGGCTCTTCCAGGACATCCTGGTGGGAGTCTTGGTGATGGCTTTCTTCTTCCTCCTTTTCCAGTTCTGTGTCCACATGTGAGTCCTATCCCCATACCCCACCCTATCCCTTTCAGAGGACCAAATCTTCTAAGCGCCCCTCCCCACTCCATCTCCATACCCTTCTTCAGGAGCTTCCAGAAAGGGGCCTAAAGAATGGAACAGGAGCCCTGGAACCAGCTGTGTGCCCAATCCACACTGCTCTTCTGCTGAAAAATAAAGGTGGTGGTCTTCTTTTTCCCTGACTGTTCAGTGGCCCTTTGCGGCCACCCATCCCCCACCTCCTCCTTTCCAGTCCCCAAAAACTGGGCACAAGGGTCTTGCTGGCGGTCACGCAGATCGTCTTTATTAGCAGTCTGTGAAGCACCTCCCAGGGTCTGTGACCCCAGATTGAGGAAGCCTTGAGAGGTCTATAGCACCAGGGACAAGCCAGAGCCCGAGGGCGAGATGTGCAGCCTGCTGGGAAGGGGGGAAGGGACTGGCCTCACCTGCCTGCGGGGTTGTTCAGCACTGGGAAGGCTGTTGGGGGAGCAGTCCTCTCCCTCCCCCCACCCCAACAAACTCGTTTGATATGGGTGAATAAATAAATACGGTTCCTCTGACTGACCTCCACAGGAAGGAACTGTGGGGGCCACCAGCCCACGGGGTGGGTTAGGGTGTCTTCTCTCTCCCAGGCGATAGGGAGCAGAGAGGGGTTTGCAGCAGAGGGCTGGGATGTCCTTGGCAGTGGGGCCACCCCTATGTCCTTTGACTTCTAGTCCTGTTGAGCCCCTGTCTTCCCACAGGCCCTCCAGATCTTCCTCTTGCCTTCACTTGGCCAGCACAGGGCAGGAAGAGGCCTGTAATCCCAGGTTTAGATACTCTGGGGAGCAGAGGTCCCCTCTCTCCCTGTCTTCCAGTCACCTGACCATCTACCTGAGGGTAGATTTCTCCCTCCCATTCCAAGTCCATCTGTCAGTCTTGGGGCTTGTCAAGGTATGGGGCCCCTGGCTCTCAACCCCCACCCATTGGCCCCAGAGCCCTGTCCCCACGGGGGGGGGTGTTCCCCAGACCCCAGCCTCAGTCCTGGGTCTGACAGGGAGAGGTTGGCGGGGACCCTCGGGGCCGGAAGAGGCGGCAGGCCCCGCGGCAGATGAGGAAGAACCAGTAGAGCTGAGGGGCAAGGAGCAGAGCTGCACCCAGGTTGACATGGGCTGGGATGGCCAGGGGCACTGAGAGCAGTGGCAGGCCGGCATGCCGCCCGTAGGCCCAGTACAGGTAGGGGAAGAGCAGCACCCGACAGCACAGAAAGCTGAGCAGCATCAGGGCCCCGTTCACCTTGTGCAGCAGTGTGTGCTGCTGCTTGTACTGTGGACAGAGCAGGGGTGATGGGATGGAGAGAGGGGCCCTGTCACCTTCCACTCTACCAGTCTCCCACCCACAGCTGCCTTCCCCTCCCCCTGCCTATGGTTTCTCCTACACCTGCCACTGCACCTGGCCAGTCTTATTTATTATTATTATTATTATTTTATTATTATTATGGTCTTGTTTTGTTTTTGAGACTGGGTCTCCCTGTAGTCCCATCTGGCCTGGCACTCATTATGTAGACCAGGTTGGCCTCAATCTCACAGAGATCCACCTGCCTCTGCTTCTTGAGTGATGGGACTAAAGACGAGCACCACCACATCTGGCCTTATTCTTTTTTGACAAGGGTCTCACTTCGTAACCTGGCTGTCCTGGAACTTGCTGTGTAGACCAGGTTGGCTTTGAACTCACAGATGTCACCTGCTTCTGCCTCCCAAGTGCTGGGATGAAAGGTGTGTGCCACCACATCCAGTTATTATTATTGTTTTTTTTAATTAAAAAATATTTTATTATTTTTATTTTATTTATTTATATTTTATTTTATGTGCATGTATGTGAGTGCACCCGTGTTGTGCAATGCCGCAGAGATCAGAAGAGGGCTTCGAATTCCCCTGGAACTGCAGTTAAGGACAATTTGTAGTCACCATGTAGGTGCTGGGAATCGAACCCGGGTCCTCTGCAAGAGCAGTCAGTGCTCTTAACCACTGAGCCATCTCCAGCCCCTTATTATTGTTTTTTTGAGACAAGGTCTCACTGTTTAACTCAGGCTGTCTCAAACTCATGATCTTCTTACCTCAGCCTCTCTAGAGTTATAGGCACATACCATCATGCCCAGGCCCAAAGATTGCTCCTGGCCCTTGAATCCTGGAAAGTCCCCAGAAGTGCCCCTCTGCCCGTGCCCTCCCTTTAGGCCCTTGGGCCCTCAGGCCCACTCTCACCTGGATGAGGATCTTGCCCAGGCAAACAAAGGGTGTGCTGACCTCAGCCATCAACATGCAGCCTAGAAAGAAATCACCCTTGCCCTGTCGCCATACCTGAGGAGAAAGGCAGGAGAATGAGGAACAGTCCCTGCCTGCCTCTCTCTCCCTATCACCTTCAGAGATGCTTAGCTGTTTGTGTGTGGGTGTACATGTATGTGGGAATGGTGTATATGTATATGTGGATGTGTTCACTCATGTATGCACATGTGTGGGTATGGGTGCACATGCCTGTAAAGGCCCAGAGATCAATCTTAGGCTTCTTCTTCAATTGCTCTCCCCCCCCCTTTTTTTTTTTTTTTTGGTCTTTTTGAGACCGGGTCTCCTTGTAGCCCCAGCTGGCCTGGAACTCACCATGTAGACCAGGCTGGCCTTGAACTCAGAGATCCACCTGCCTCTGCCTCCCAAGTGCTGGGATTAAAGGCGTGCACCACCACACCCGGCAACTCTCCCTTATTTTTTAGATAGGGTCTCTCACTGAACCTAGAGCTCATAATTTGGCTAGACTGACAGACCAGCAAGCCCCACAGATCCTGTTGTTGCTTCCCGAAAGCTGGGATTATAAGCACACACCACCATGCCCAGCTTTTCACCTGGGTACTGGGAATCTGAATTCAGGTCCTCTGGTTGGATAGCAAACACATTATCAATGGAGCCCTCTTTCCCCAGCCATATCCCACTCTACCCCCCTTGTAACCCAGGCTGGCTTCCACCTCTCAAGTGTTAAGATTACAAGTGTGCACTACCTGGCTTTATGCAGTGCTGGGGATTGAACCCAGGGTGTCACACTTGCTGGGCAAGCACTCTGCCAACTGAGCTACATCCCCAGCCCACAGAGGTCCTTAGCCCTGAGAATCTGAACACTCTATACACTTGCAAAGACGTGTATGCCCCTGCAGGTAAGGCAGCATGCATTACACACACCACAGAGGAAAGACAGGCTCAGAAATGCAACAGGAGCTCCAAAGCACCCCAAAGTGACTCCAGACACTGTGCCTCTAGAAACAGTCTGAAAATTGCTGCCAGCCTGCCCAGCCCCCACTGTCCTGCAGTCAGGCTCCAGCAGTACTGGTATGCTGAGGAGAAACCACCTTCCACACCCAGATTCCACCCCTCCTGGTTCCTGGAGGGAGGACTCACCACTGAGAGAGGGAAGCATACCAGCACCATGGTCGCGTGGTGGAGCACCATGAGGAACTCCTTGTGCAGGTAGCCACGTACCACTGCCCAGGTGCTGCCCAAGGCTTTGGGCGTCCCATCTTCTCCTCCGTGCCCTTTAACCTGGTGCTTGTGCCAGTGGCAGAGGAACATGGCATAAATATCGTAGATGAAGTAGGGTACTGCAAACTGTGTGTAGGCAGAGGACAGCCAGTGCCTGTTGGAGATGGGAGAGAAAAAGGAGGATGGATGGTTCCCAGGTGAGCAGCTCCCAGGGCCGGATGGATGCTCCATGTGAGTGAGTCAGGTCTCAAGGGACTTTCACAACCCTGAGTCTCAAGTTACAGATTTAAAGATGCTGGAACTGAAGGGTGGAGGGTGAGAAACCACCCAAGGTCACGCAGTCTCACAGCTCCTAGGTATTGAGGCTAGATTCAAGTCAGACGGACCTGGAAACCCACCATGTCTCTGCTCCTTCTGTGTCTGTCTCTATCTCTCCTCTCTCTAGCCATCAACTCTTCAACATAGAAGTGGGGGAAAGGAGATCAGAACACTGCTGATCATGGGCAAAGATGAAAATGAACTGAGAGGAGGCACAAAGATACCCCAGTCAGGACAACAGCAGGGACTTTCCAGCACTGGGGAGAGATCCTGTGGCTCAGCACCAACCACGAAGTTACCACATGCCAGGCACTATGCTGGCGTCTAGATCCTCACACTGCATCTAATCATTCACTTCTCACAAAACCCTATGTGCAGACAAAGCAACTGAGTCATGGAGAGGCCAAGGAACAACCAGAAAGTCCTCGCTACCAGCCCCACTGTCCCTAGAAGGTTCAAGAGGTGTTAGAGCCATTCCCTGGTGAGGCAGTCTGTCACTGCAGCATGCCCCTGCTCCAAGGTGCTCCGTCTCTCGTTGGTACAGGTACAGCCAAGCAGTGAGATGAAAACGCTGAGCAAAAGATGAGGAAATTCTATGGACTGCAGATGGTTGGGAAGGACTCAAATGCACAGCACTGCACTTTTTTTCTTGAGTCAGCAGAGAGGTTTTCTCTCTGAATCCAGTAACCCTAAGACAGATCTGGTGGGGATGGGAGGTCAGAAAGGCAAAGCAGCCTGCCCAAGTGGGAAGGAAACCAAAAGCTAAGTCAGAGAAAGACCTAAGGCTGAATGTGAGATGCTGCTGAGGGGAGGGGTGGAGGCCAGCTGGAGATGGGGTAGGCACAAAGGAAGCAGAGCACACCTAGGCAAGCTGGCCTGGAAGGGGCGAGGTGTCCTTCTCTCAAAGGAACCCATATTTCAGTAGTACAGGGTGTATGACCAGGAGGCAGAAAGGAATGAGAAGGGAGAGACAGCTGGCTAACAAAGCAGAAATACAGAGTGAGCAAGGACCAGCCATCCTCAGAGGAGTCACAGCGAAGACCAGTCACATAGCCTCCCCAACAACGTGGGGGGCATGGAGCCCATGGGATGCTGGGTTGTAGGGGACAGGGAGGAGCTCCTGGGCTGCCCTAGGAGGTCCTCTATCCCATCTCTACTCTCTCAGCAATTAGGTGCTCAGAAGTAGGAACAGCTGCTGCCCCCGGATTAACCCTGATCCTCCCACCTACCTGAGAATTAAAGGGGGAAGAGAGCCAGGAATGGTCTTAGAGGGGGGAGGAAATGCAAGCAATAAAAGGTGACCTCTAGGTAAGAAGGTGTAAATACTTGGACCCACTAGCTGAGGAAGGGGTGGGGAGAAGACAAGGGAAAGCCAGATCATAGAGAAGGATCTACTATGATGGAACCAAGAACTGTTCTAGGCATTTGCCACACAGCAGCCTTCTGGGCAGGGATGTGATCTCACTTTATAGGGGAGAAAAATTCACCCATGGGAAAAGAGATGGCAACCAGAGGCCAGTCAGTGTTCTCTGGGGGCTCAAAGGACAACAGAGAAAAGGGGAGCAGAGCCCAAAGCTAAGAGTGACGGTAGGAAGGGCGTCGCAGGCACCCTCACAGCCAACTTGCAGCAAGCAGTCCATGGCTAGCTGAAGCAGCCCAATCAGCACCACGGACAGGGCCGCCTTCCGTTCCTCCTCCTGCCCCACCTCTCAGGCCTGGGCCTTTTTGGCAAGCACCAAACACTGCAGTAGCTGCCAGTGCCAAATTTTGGCCTCTCCACCCACCTCCCCCACTGCTTGACCCCTAGTGGCCTTGTTTGTGTCATCTCTCTCTTCTCCCTTGGGTATAAGGCTGAGGCTAGACCCCTGGATTCTAGGAGGAGTTGAGAGGTGAGCCTGGCATGGCCAGGAGGCACTCAGGGTACTGGCTGGAAATAGGGTCTGCAGGGTGCAAAAGATGGGAAAGGCAGGGTTGGAAATGACACTCAGCAGTCACTACAAGAAGTCAGGAAACCTACCAGGATCTGCTTTGGGGTTCTCTTTGCTCCACACTCTTGCTCTCCCTGGTTGACCTTTAAGGACAGGACAAGATAAATTTATCCCTGGGTGTTGAGTTGCAGCAATTGCTCGAACTAGCTCAGGCCCAAGTTAAGGTACCACTGAAGATCTGGGGTGCTGCTGCGTCCCACACATACAGGGGCTGCTAGGACATGAGCATAGGTGGGTGTGAGGTACTTACTGGTCATCAATGATGTGCTTGCAGGAGGTGGAGACGATGTAGCCAGCTGTGGAGGCCATGATGGCTTGGACAGAGGACACGAGCCTAGGAAGACAAGAAGCAGTGGGAAGAGGGTGAGGTGTATGCCTTGATTTCTCCTCTTTACTACTTTAATAACTGTGCTTTGGACCCAGTACTTCTAAGGGCCGTTCCTTGCCAACCTTCTCCCAAGTCTGATTTGCCGACCACCACTCCCAAATCTTTGCTTTGGTTGGCCTGCTATCCCTCAGTCTCCATCTCACCCAGCCTTCCTCCTTCCCAGTTTGTGGCAGTTGAAGCTCCTTCCTACCAGGATACCAGGGAGGTCATCCCGAGGTGAGCCAGTGTTGGGAATAACTGACTGTGAGGTCTCTCCCTGGGGAGGAAGGGAGGGGACCTAAGAAGGCCAGAGGAGCTCCTGAGCTGCCCCTGTACACTTGGCTATCCTGACACCATGCTGGTCAGAACTCTAGCCACTGGCCCCACAGTGACCCCAAGTTCCCCAGCCACTTTCCCCCTATCTCCTTGACTGCCACCATGCTCCTCTTCCCTTATTCTAGGGATGTCAAGTTTCACTGTCCACTCCTCTGTGCCTTGACCTCCAAACACTAGCTCTGAAAAACATAGGTCCGCCCCTTCCCTTGTTCCCTAATAGCTTCTGAATGTTTAGTCACATGCTGGCCTGTTTTGGAGGCTGGGAAGCAGAAGAGCTGAATACTAGTAGACCAGATGGCTGGGTTTTGATGAGGTCTCCAGGGAAGGTGAGGCCGAGGAGAGAAGAAGCTTGGGAGTAAACCCATCAACCACTGTAGGGGCTCCTATCCCCATAGGGCCAAGGGCCTATGGAAGTGCTGGGGTCCCTTCCCAGTGAAGCCCGTGGAGGAGGGGGGCTGAGCTCAGGAAAGGCATGCCATTTACCTGGCGGAGACAATGACCGCGTCGGCTTCCTCCCAGCGCAGCTGGGGCAGCCTCTGGAGCGTGTTCTTGGATAGGAGGAAGAGTCCGGGGAACACCACCCCCCCAGCCACCATTGGGGTGAACATGATGGCTTGGACCGTGGCAGGGAGACCAGCGGGTCCAGAAAGGACAGGGAGGCTGAACCGAGGGAATTAGAAGTGGAGAAGGAATGCCAAGCCAAGGAGAGAGAGAGAAAAAGGGAGGCAGGGGCACAAAGGGGACAGGGCGGGGACCGGATGGGACAAGGGAGCCAGACCAGGGGAAGGGAGAAAGGGACTTCAATGAGACTGGGGACACAGGAAGAAAGGGTTAGCTAGGCAGAGTCGACAAGGAGGATGGGAGCAGGGGGTGGGAGAAGGCTGGTGAGAGGGATGGGAAAGAGAAGACCAAGGGAGGACTTGGTGAGAGGACTGAGAGGGAGAAGGGGACAGGAGGAGGAGGAGGAGGATGCAGCGGGGGGAGGGGAGGGAGAGCCGTGGCAGGTGGGGGGGGGTTACGTGGAGAGGCTGGGAGGGCCCAAGGAGGCGGGGGGGGGGACGATGGTGCTAGCCCGGAAAGGAGGGAGGGAGGGAAGAACTGAGCGGATGGAGCGGCTGGGCAAGTGGTCAGCAGTCAACACTATTCTGCCACCACCAGCCACCACCACCCTCTCTTGCTGCTGCCACAGTCTCCGCTGCCCAGTGCAGACACTGCACTTGGCATTATAGAGTTGGTGCCCAGCCCCCTACCCCCCTCTATGGGAAGGGGGAGGGGGAGGGGAAGCAGCCAACTTGGGGAGGGCGAGGGAGGGGTGGGGAAATGATGGCACCGATCAGACACCAAGAAACCGGACCTGCAGCAGCGTCTCCCATGTAGCTCAGAGCCACAGCCGCGGCTGCGACAGATGGGGGGGGAGCAAGGAAAAAGGGAGGGGGAGGCCCTTAAAGAGACAGCAGCTGCAGCACTGGGGGCTGCTGGGGACAAGGGCTAGGGGAGGGATGGCTCTTCTCTTGAGAAAGAAGATAGCCCTGGGGCTCTTTGGCCAGCTGGGGTGGGGGGTACTGAGCCCTCTTTTCCCACCAGCACTTTGCAAATGCCTGATATTTCCTCCTCTGCCAAAGCTTACAAACATGTATCCCTTAGTGGCCCGCAGGGGACCTCAGCTTAGGGGTGCCCACTCCAGCAGAGAGGATTCCCTGGGGAAGGGAGACTGAGTAGGTGGTGTCTTGCTCTTCATGTCGTGAACACTGAAGAGTGGAAGGAAACATCTCACACCTAGTGTCCTTCAGACCCTGAGCTCCACTTCACCCAGCCAGAGGGAGTAGAGACTAACACACACCAGGCACCTGCGCACACTCTGCAGCAAGACTGCCGTATGTCCTAGTCTAACTACTGTGACAGCACCAGGTATCTGGGCTTGTCTACTTTTTAGAGGTCAGAAAATGGTCCTGAGGCAGGAGTGACATTTTCCAGGGTCAGTTAGGAAACGATAGGGACAAGGCTGGGGTGTGGCTCAGTAGCAGAGCCCTTGCGAGCTTGTGTAAAGCCATGGGTTTGATTATCAGCACTGAAAAAAAAGAAGAGGAGGAGGAGGAGGGGTGAGGAGGAGGAGGTAAAGATTGGGTGGGCTGGGTGGCTCATGCATGTGATCCCAGAGGCTGAGGCAGGAGGATGACCACAAGTGGAGGCCAGCTTGAGCTACAGAGTTCTAAGCCATCATGGGGGGGAAAGAAAAGAAAAGGGGCTTGAAGAAGGTAGGGACTGCTGCTTTGAAGAAAACCCTTCTGGGGCCAAGGAAGTCCAGTGCCTTCCCCACCTCCACTGCCAGGGCCTCTCCTGGCTTTGCTGGGCACCCATCATTTTTCCCCCTCTTATTGGCTCCCTTCCCTCTGCCACTCCTCAGAACAGCCAGGATTCTGACTGAGAAAGGACCTGGGGCCTGGAAGCTTCAACAGCCCTCATTTAATCAAAGGGGAAATGTAGCACAGTGACTTGGCCAGGGCCACACTGCAGGCTCAGCACACAGCTGTTCCTCACTCTTACACATCTCCATGACACCTTGCCTTCTGTCCCAAACCCAGCTGTCCTCCAGACTTCTGTAAGGCGGGGGACTGCATCCCTAACTGTGCCTGGGTTTCTCAGGCTGGCCCTGAGAAAAGAAAATCTGCAATTGACCTTTTCAGCCCAAAACCTTCCTCCTCTGCTCCCCTAGAGGAAGGGGGTTGTGATTTGCAATTTTGTGCTGCCCTCTAGTGGTAGTATGGAGGAACGACTGATCAAAGGCTTCCTGTAGGCAAGAGTTGGAGTCAGATTTAGAGACTATTGCAGACCTGACCTTCTGACAGTTCACCTAAGGAAAAGAGGCCCGTCTTTCTATGTCTTCCTATAATCTCAGCAAAGTGCAAGGAGATTTATGTTGTGCTCCTTTAACGTTCTCAGGTGGTGGAAAGGAGAAACTGAGGCGTAGATGTTTAAAAAGCAAAAACTGAAAAAAAGATAATACAACTGTGAACATCAATAAAGCTGGTTTTCAAAGCCACGTTTGTTTAATTCCAGGAAAAGCAACACCAACCAGGCCTGTAATCCTAACACTAGAGAGGCTGAGGCATGAGGACTGCTGAAATCTCTAACCAGGACAATGGGGATAGGGGGGAAGAGAAGAGAAGAGAAGAGGAGGGGAGGGGAGGGGAGGGGAGGGGAGGGGAGGGGAGGGGAGGGGAGGGGAGGGGAGGGGAGGGGAGGGGAGAGGAGGGGAAGGGGGGGGAGGGGAGGAGAGGAGAGGAAAGGAGAGGAGAGAGAGAGATTAGCCTAGTCTGAGCTACTAAAGTATGGGGGTACAGGCCTGTAATCTCAGTACTCAGGAGGCTGAGGCAGGAGGATTACTAAGAGTTCCAGGCCAAGTTGACTAAAGAGTGAGACCTCACCTCAAAAACAAAAACAACCCAGGTATGGTGGTGTAGCCTTTATGCCTAGCAGGGGACAAGAGGCAGGCAGATCTCCATGAGTTCAAGGTCAGTCTGGTTTACATACTGAGTTCTAAGCTAGTCAGGGCTACATAGTGAGACCCTGTCTCAGAAAACAAATAACAAACAAAAAACAACCACACAATAAAACAGAACAAAAACTGAACAAAAGCACAAAAACACTGAGTTGGGAGGATAGCCTGGCATCAAAATTTTGACTGAGGACCATAAAACTGGCCAAGGGACTGTGGGTTAAGTCTGGTTGGTGCTCATCAGAGCAGATGGAGACAGGAAGTTTGTTTGGGGTTTTGGTTTTTTGTTGTTGTTGTTGTTTTGTATGTGTGTGCTTTTGTTCTTTTGATGTTTTCTCTGCTAAGAATTCAGTTAGACACCTTGGTAAATTCTGCCTTCTAGGACTGGAGATGTGGCTCAGTGCTTGCCTAGCATGCCTGAGGCTCCAATCTCCATACCCAGCATGGCAAAGAAAAAAAAAGAAAAATTCCCAAGCCTTATCACCTTCACACTCCCTGTCTCACCTGTGCCTTGATGTGGTTCACATAAAGCTCTATCAAACAGGTCAGAAGCTTACACCCTGAGGACCTAGCCTATCCCACAAACACGTGTTGTTTGTCCAGTGTGGTGTTGCCCAGTATGTATAGTACCTTCCTACATTTCAGTCTAAATTATCAGTTTTAAAAATTAGCCCATGGGGCTGGAGAGATGGCTCAGTGGTTAAGAGCACTGGTTGCTCTTGCACAGGACCCAAGTTGGTTTTTCAGCACCACATAGTGGCTAACAACTATCTGTAGCTCCAGTTCCAGGAGATCTGACACCCTCTTCTGGCCTCTGCAGGCATTGAATGCATGTAGTACACTTGTATGTATGTAGGCAAAACACTCATTAAGCTTTTAAAAAAAATTTAAAGTTAGCCAGGCGTGGTGGCACACGACTTTGATCCCAGCACTCGGGAGGCCGAGGCAGGCAGATCTCTGTGAGTTCAAGGCCAACCTGGTCTACATAGTGAGTTCCAGGACAGCTGGGGCTACAGGGAGACCCTGTCTCAAAAAGACCAAAAAAAAAAAAAAAATTTAAAGTTAGCCAATATGGAGCTGGAGAGTTGATGCCATGGTTTAAGAGTATGAACCACTCCTGCAGAGGACCTGAGTTTGATTCCCAACACCCAGGTCTGGTGGCTTATAACTGCCTGTAACTCCAGCTGCAGGAGTTCAGATACTTCTGCCTTCCTCAGACACCCACACTCATATACACAAACCAAACACAGACATATACACATATATGTAATTAAAAATAATTTTTTTTAAAAAAAAGCTGATTTTGAGCCACTGAGATGGCTCAGTGAGTAAAGCGCCTGCTGCCAAGCCTGATGACCTAAGTTTGATCCCTGGAACCCACGTGGCAGAAGGAGACAACTGACTAGCGAACTGTCCTCTGACCTTCACATGCAAACCATTGGCATGTGCAAGCTAATTTCTCAATTGCTAGCACTTGGGAGGCTGAGCTGGACTAGAAAGTGAAGTTCTGCCTCAGGAAAAAAGAAGGACTGGGGACGAAGTAGTGTGGCCTTGGGTTGAGTTTTGTGATGCCCTGCTGTCTGAGGTGCTGCTCCTACCAGACGTCCTATGAGTCCTGCCACTCACATCTCCACAGAGCCCATGGCCCTTGAATTTGGAGGGATTTGCAATTTCTCCTTAAAGACACTAATTCCCATGATCCTCACATATCTCCATGGAAAAATGAAATAGAATGTCATTATTGTTAAGCCCATTTCCAAATGTGGAATCTGAAGCTCAGAGAGTTGGTGTCTTGCAAAAGATTCCATTAACCCCAGCCCCCCCTGTACTCTGCCTTCCTCCATCAATGTACCCCCCACCCCAAGCAAGATTTCTAGATCAGCTCTGCCAGCCCTGGCCTGGCCCATCATCTTACTTTGATGCTACCAAAACAGCTTCTTGCCTCTCCATCTTCAGGCTGCTGTGATTCTGCAGTCCCCAGCGGAGGACAGCAAAGCCCAGTGGGAAAAAGACACAACCTAGCACAAAGAGCAGGGTCATGCCTGTCTGCAGGAGAGAAAACAGAAAAGATGGCCGTGAAGACACCTCAACACAGCATCCTCAGACTCCCCCCAAGAAGGACGTCATGTCCTATGAGACCCGCTCATCTGTCATTGCTGTAAGCCTCCAGGCAAAACTATAGTCTGATTTCTTTCGGCGCCTTAGTGTACTTTCTGTTTGGAGCCAGGGGCTCCATAGGTAGCCCGGGTGGACCTTGAACTCTCGATCTTCCTGCTGCAGCCTCCTAAGCACTGAGATGGCTCCTGGCCTTTGCTGTACTCTTCATGTCATTCATCTAGGGCAACTGGACATCCTGCTAGTTTGCTTGCTTGCTTGCTTGTTTGTGACAGGGTCTCAACTGACTGAGACTGGCCTTGAACTCCTTGTTCTCCTGAATTCACTTCCAAAGTGCTAGGAT